GGAAAGAAATCTACAAAAGATGTATCAACATCAAATTTCTGAATACTAAAAAAGAAAAAAATCTTGAAAGCAGCAAAAGAGAAATGACATCCACCTTATCTTAGAAGAAAAGACTTCAAAATAAAATGAAAGTACATAAATGATACAGATACAACGAACACATGTGAACAGATGAAAAGCAGTAGTCATGACATCAGTATTAAACAATGTTAATTTTATGGCAGCAAGCATCTAATGAGAAGGGCACTTATAATAGAGGGTAAAATTCACGCTGAAAATTTAAGTGCAATCGATATGTATAAAAATAAATAACACAGTGTTGAAATTAATAAAGCAAAAGCCATATGCTAGAAGGAGAAATAGACTGCAAGAGCTTATCAGTAGACTATTTGTTAGCCCATACACATACTACTGTATACACATATGCATAAAAATAATCCTGTCGTTACTTGCACTAATAAACTATGTCTAATCACTATAAACTGAACTGCACCCTAAAAAATTGTAAAAGAAAATCAGGCAATTCATGACATTTGATGATCACAATGCAATAAAACAGGAACAATAACAAAACTAAATACCTACGAAAAATTGTAAAAGAAAATCAGGCAATTCTAAAAAATATAATCCATGACATTTGATGATCACAAAGCAATAAAACAGGAACAATAACAAAACTAAATACCTACTGGGATCGGGTAGTGGGGAGGGGGAATTCCATTACAGTATACTGCGTTGGCATTTTGAAATCTCCTTAAATAATCAATGGTTAAAAAGGGCAAAGAAAACCAACATTTTAGAAATTTAAAAACATTAATAATAATATTCACATCCTATAGGATAAAGCTAATTCAGTTAAATGGAGGAAAATTTATATTCCAAAATACTTATGTTAGTAAATAAGAAATGATGAAAATAAGTAAAAAAAAATAAAGAACAATAAAATATAATTAAAGTGATCCCTACATTAATTTATTCACCAAAATTACTTCCAGGTACTTACAATAATTACAAAACTATGACAGTAATAGAATTACCATTATGATTTTTTCAAATTTATTTTGAGGCCAGATATAAATTGTGACAAAAACACAAAACCACAGGAGGAAAAAGAAAAAAGATATAGAAGAAAGACTAACAAAGCACTAAGTTTCTTAATCAACAAAGAATTCTTATATATCAAGAAAAGAACCCATGACATCCAATAGATCTTATGAAAAGTTGATAAGCATCATTCATAATGTGAGAAATCCAAATTAAAGTTGCAATTATATGTCACTTCACCTATCAGATTTTCATAATATACCAATTTGAAGATTGAAACATGGGCACATTGATAATTCTTAATAAATTTGCAAATCTCTTTGTAAGGAAATTTGATAATATCTGTTATGATTTAGAAGGACATATCACTTTACTGAGAAAATCATCTGAGACTTACCCTTCAGGTGTAATATTACATATGAATAAAGACTTCCATGAGGTTATCCATTGCAGTGTTGTTTATAATAGTAAAATATTTTAAACAATCTACTTGCCATCAATACTCGACTGGTAAAATAAATATTTCTTAGATGCAATAAATCCTATGCAGCTGTTAAAAATGAATGAAGATTTATGCAGATCTGTTACATGTACAAATTTTGAAACACCTTGGAAACTTTTATTTACAGAGGAAAGCTAATCTTACAATATTACTTATCTGTGTTAACATTTGGGTAAAAAAAAGATAAAGGGCAAGAGAGATATACATATGTATACCTTATTAGACATGGAATATTTCTGCATATATTCAGTTATTTACCTACTCAATTCAATAACTACTTATTGAATGCCACTGCCTGTTTTAAGCTCACAGAATATATGGATAAAATCTTGATACCCCGGTTCTCATGCAACTTGTTTTCTTGTGGAGAAGAGACAATAAAAAATAAACATGTTTAATAAGTTATGTCTGTGCATGACAAAAGGAAATAAAATCTATAGTAAAATCAAAATAGAGCATGGCCAGGGGCTTGAGAATCTAGATGGGTTAATTGTTCATTGAATAGTCAGGATGAGGCCTATGCTACAGAAAAGAGATGGCAACCATGATGTTTTTGAGAAGGGAACCTGGAAGACAGGAGCACAGGGATGAAATGCTTTTTCTCAGACTACTAACCTTTATATAATGTTTGAAATATTCATTGGGTAATAACATGAACTTTAAAAAAAAGCAATGAAGTTATATACACAATTCTATGCAGACATTTTTCTAACACTTAGACTTGTGGAAAGTATCATTTCTCAGTCCTCCTCACTTTCCAATTATGCTTTTGTCTTAAGCGTTATCATAAAGTCTTATATTTTCACAGATTTGCCAGTTTCATCAATGCCTTTCAACATTCAGGTTGGAAGGTGAACGGGCCTCCTGGCTGATGAGGTTGCTTTAAATGGGTGAAAGGGAAACCAATGAAAGTTTATTTTAATAGTATACTGGTAGGACTTGGTGTCATCGATTCTACTTCATTTGCCTTAAAGGCAAAAACTAAAAAAGAATAAATGGCAATTAATTTAAAGAAACTCATTATACATGTGATGATAATCTAACAATTTGTTGTACAACTAAAATTGTTATTTAAATAAACAAAATGAAAATTCTTCTTTCATTTGGTACTAAAATGAAGTGCACCTGTTCAGTCCAATAAAAGCATACAGATCGAATTCAAGTACATGCTCTGTTACGTATTAACCAAATGCTTTCAGGCGAGTAAAAAAACCAAAACTCTCTAATGTCTCTCCTGCTACCTGGAGTACAAAGAATGCTTGATGAGAAGTCAGAAGTTCTAGACTTGAATCTTGGTTTTTATCTCTCCTGGCTGCTTAAGCCTGAGCGAAACCTAAGTCTCTGAGCATCAGTTTTCTCAAGTATAAAATAGGAATAATGTACCCACATCAGAGGGATATTATATTTGTGAGCATTAAATGAGATAATTCATGTGGAAAATATCATTATATAAAAATACTATAAACTGGAAGGTATAAATGGCAGGTCCTTGGCCAAATCTAGCCACAAATGTGTTTGAATTGGCTGACAGTACTGGATCCCACGGTGCTGTAAAGCAATTTTAATTAGTTGCCAATGTTCAAAGATTGGATGAATTTATGTAAAATATGGATTTTAAGTTTTCCTAAAAAATTATATTAGCTGGCTCTATCGGGCCCATATTCTGTTGGCAAAAAACCAACTAAATGTGAGTGGTGGTTAGTCTCGCCTTAGGGAGCCTTTGTGCTCCCAATTGGTGTCACTTTCCTTCATTCATCATTCAGTTATTTGCCCCCTGACAGTGAAGACTCAATTTTCCTTATGCCTGGCCAGCCTCACTCTCTCCTGCCTTAACTCCTACTGGCCACATATTTTTGTTCTGTCACCCACCATTGTACGCTGCAGTGCTTTTCCTATTCCAGCACAAAAACATTAAACAAACTGCTCATCTGTCTTCTTTATCAGTTATGAGACAAAATATATAAAAGGCTTCCATTGCTAATCTGGGATTGACCTCTGCTTGTTCTCTAGGGGATCTCCAGTTCCCAGCCACATCATTATGAGCTCAATAAATATTTATGGAGTGAATAAAAACATGAATGAATGACAGTGATGTGCCTTCTACCTTAAAGATACATCTGAGTGTGTGTTTTCATTTGAACATTTTCTTATGCTTTTCTACTTAGATATGATTACTCTATCTGAAGCAGAGAAAAATGTTTGCTCATATGACATTTTTATTCAGTTTGATTTTTGTTTTTATTTTTTACTACAGGATGTCCCCAGACAAGGTATGGCCCAAATTGTGAGCTAATATGTACCTGTAAAAATGGTGGCCTTTGCAATCCTGTGGATGGAAGCTGTACCTGTGGCCTTGGATGGACAGGAAATTATTGTGAAAAAAGTAAGTTGATTGCCGCCTTCTTTCATTCAATAAAAATCTAGAGGCTACTGCCACTGGTTGATAAAATATAGGACAGGCCCCCAAAGAGACAATTTCCCAAGAAGTTCACCTAAGCCACTTGTAATTATGATTGCATTTCTAATAAAAATAGTGTTCTGTTAATATTGATGGATTTTTGTTACCTTGTTACCAGAATACCCCCTGGAAACTTTTAAAACCCTTAAGTCAGTGGTTCTCAACCTTCCTAATGCCATGACCCTTTAATACAGTTCCTCATGTTGTGGTGACCCCCAACCATAAAATTATTTTCGTTGCTACTTCATAACTGTAATTTTGCTACTGTTATGAATCGTAATGTAAATGTCTGATATGCAGGATGTATTTTCATTGTTACAAATTGAACATAATTAAAGCATAGTGATGAATCACAAAAACAGTATATAATTACATATGTGTTTTCCGATGGTCTTAGGCGACCCCTGTGAAAGGGTCGTTCGACCCCCAAAGGAGTCGCAACCCACAGGTTGAGAACCGCTGCCTTAAGTAATTGGAATAGTAGTAATATAAAAGAACTCCTCTAAGACCTAAATCTATTCCCCCTCCAAACAGTTTTAAGCATGAAGGCTTTGTGGCCAGCAAATCTGCTGAACCCTGAGTTTCTTGGCATGAGGTTAAAGGACCTCAACCACCACTGAAAATGTATCCATTGAACATTCACAAAAATTGAAAAAGAAAATCAAGCAATTCTAAAAAATATAATTCATGACATTCGATGATCACAAAGCAATAAAACAGGAACTAATAACAAAACTAATTATCTTGCCGGGATGAAGCCTTGAGGCAGGCAGAGTGGAGGATGCGGGGCCCTGGGCAGAGCCAGGGGTGAAGGAGAGGACTCTGGGCGCAGAGGACTCCAAACTTTATTTCATCAGGAAAATATCATCATCTACCACTGTAAATATATTTTTTACACATAAGTGACATTTATGTGTTTCTCAACTAATATATTATGCATTCCATAAAACATATATAAAGGTTTAAATTGCTAAAGAATGGATAAAGATAAAGATTGATAGTTCTAATTCTTCTTTCCAAACCTCAGTTGATTATTTTGTGCAATACTGGAGAGCATGCACCCTACTTAGAGCTCACTTTTGTAGGAGATGGTTTTGTGTTCTGGCAGCATGGAGAGAAAGGTCTCTGGCAGGGGACAGAGTGTGGCTGAGAACACTGATGGGGGCCTACACTGGGGGCACCTTATGTAAAAAAAAAATTGACAGTAAACTTGTACCTAGTTTTCAACTATGGGGTCATGGCTTTTTAGACCTGCGTCCTGACATACTATCCCAATGAGTGTGATACCCACTATCCTTCATTGTGAATTCGACTATCATGAAATTTGGCATCGTGACACACAAGAAAGCACCTTGCAATAGGAGCGGACAGACTCGTATGCCAACTCTGCTCAGCTCATACCATGCTCTATGCCTTTGGGAAGTTCACAGTCTCTCTGTGATTTGGTTTTCTCACATGAATATGAAGACAATGACACTTTGAAGTGACAGTGCTTCTAAACCTAGTATTTAAGGTCATTTTCTTGGAATTTTTTTATGTGGATAGTCTCCCTCATTTATGGAGACAATTGTTACCAATTTTGTGATATTGGAGATTGCTAAATCAGATTAATAGCAGTTCCTCAAAATTAGACAGCAGCTTTATGTCCATATTGTTTTGTTGTGTTTTTTTTTTTTTAAATTTTAAGTTGGGCAACTCTTCAGCATGTAGAGAAATAAGATATTTTAACATTTGATCCTATCATTTAAACCCTTTGTTATTTATGAAATTATTTTAATTAAATTCAACTATTTATTATTGAAATTTATTCTATTCAACTTATCCTATTTTGTCATTAAAACTTTTTAAACTTTTGTTTTTATCATTTAAATTTATTTATTATTTATTTATTTTATCTCAAATATAATACAAGAGTTGATGAGCCACTGGGTAAATGCAAATGTAATTTGCAACATATTGACAAATTCTCCTCTATGAGAGTTTATACCATTTTGCATCCTCATAACCAAGATATAGAATATCTCTTGCATCAGAGCTTTATCAAAAGAGTATGTTATCAAAATTTTGGTAAAAAATGTTCTATCAGTGGATATGTAATTTTCATTTTTAGTATTATGAATAAAGTTAAGTGTCTTTTGTAACTGGTAAACATCTCTTGCATTTATTTTTTCTATAAATTGTTCATAACTCAAGCTCATTTTTCTATAAGGTTCTGTTTTTTTCTATTATAATACTAGTTCTATAGATATTAGAAATATTAACTCTTTGTTATGAATTTTCACCCATATTTGGGTAAGTTTATGTTTTGTCTTTTTATTTTGCCACCTGATTGGTCATTAATTGACATATAACAAACCACCCCAAAACTTAGAAACTGGAGCAACCATGAATTATTATCTCTCATGATTCTGAGGGTTAACTGCATTCAGCTGAGTGGTCCTTCGCTCAGATAGCAGCTGGGGCTAAAGCCGGGCTGGAATAGAGAAGATAACCTCTTTATTTACACATCTGCCAACCAGGCTTTGCTCCAAGTGGCTTCTTTCTCCTTGTCGTAGTCAGCTCGGGCTGATATAACAAAATATCATAAAGTAGGAGACTTAAACAACAGAAATTTATTTTCACAGTTCTGGAGTCTGGGAAGTCCAAGATTAAGGTACAGGCAGATTTAGTGCCTGGTGAAGGCCCTCTTTTCTGATTTGCTGATGGCCTTGTTTTTGTTTTATTCTTACATGGGAGTGGGGGGAGGGGGAGAAAGGAGAGAGAGAGAGAGAGAGAGAGAGAGAGAGAGAGAGAGAGAGCACTCTCATGTTTCTTCTTATAAAGACACTTGTCCCATCATGAGGGTTCCACCAGAATAATTCTCCAACAGAATAATTTGGTTTCTTACATGACAGCTGACTTTCTAAAGCAAGTCCTGGGATCAGTCCAGGTTCCACATAGGAGGGAACAACACAAGGGTGTGAATCCCAGCGGATGTGCTTCATTGGGGATATCTTTAGATAATGGGCTCTTCATGATTCAAAGGGATTTTTTTGTTTGGTTTATTTTTGTAATAAAATATATCTTTCTTCCCTTTATTTTCTTTATATTTTGAGTCGCACTTAGGAATGTATTCCCCATTCTCAGGTAGTAAAGGAGTTCACTCATATTTTCTTTTACATACCAATACGATGTCACTTTTTGACATTTGATTCTCTGATCAATTTTAAATATTTTTCTTGGTGAATTGTGTGAGAAACAAATCCATTTTCCCCTTACATAGCTTTTCACTTATTGTAATGCAACTTTTACAAGTGAAACTTCCTCACTAACTCCAGATTTAGCCTTCATCAAATACTAAGCATTTATACATAGTTTGGGATAGTTCTGGATGCTCTGTTCTATTGGTCTATTTAGGTGCAAATGCAGTACCATTTTTATTATGAAGCCTTTATTAAACATATTTGAACTGATAGAGCTAGCCACCCTTCATTGCTCTACTTTTCAAGGATTTTCTGGCACTATTTCCATGTGAACTTTATAATAAAATTGTCCAGATGCAAAACAAACAAACAAACAAAAAAACACACAGGTATTTTTTACTGTTTTGTGTCCTCTATCTATTCTCTCTGGGAGAATGAACAGATTTATGATACTAACTCATCGTATCTGAGAATAGACATGGTCTATCATTCCATTTGTTCAAGCTTTTTGCTCCCTATTAAGTAAAATACTGGATAATAATATTCATTTGAGATATAGCTATTAATTTTCTAATCTACTCAATATTTTTACTGAATATTTTAGTGAATTTATTTTTCAAATGTCTTTTCTACATCTATGGAATTAATAATATAACTTTTCTCTTTGGCTGATAATTATGGTGGATTTATTAATGAATTTTCTAATATTGAATGACCTTACCTTCTTGGAATAAATACAACTTGGACATGATATATTACTTTATAGTCTGCTATTGGTTTCTATGTACTTATATTTTTATGAATTTGGCATCAATATTCATAAGTGAAATTGAGCTCTTTAATGTATTTTTGTCAGGTTTTGGAATTGATGCTATACTCAGTAAAATGTATTTGAAAGCTTCCTTCTTTTCAGTGTTCTGGACTAGTGTAAATAGTAAGGTAAGGATCTGATCTGTGAAGGTTTATAGAATTTTCCTGTGAAACCTATGTCTTATGGGATTTTTTTAAAAAAATTCAGTACCTATTTTCTTTATTGTTCTATTCTAATTAGCCTAGGTTTTCTGCCTCAAAGTAAGATAATTTTGGTAAGTTGTCTTCTGTAACTTTTCCATTTCATTCAGGTTTTTATATTTATTTATACTGTACTTTTTATACCTATTTCTTTTGATGATCATTCAATAATTTTAAAAAGGTGTGTATATTTGTGCTTTCTGTCTTTTCTCTTTATTGGATTAGCTAATGATTCATCTGCTTTTAATTTTTTTTGTCTTCAAACTCATTAGTATTCAATTGTCTTAACTAGAACTAATTCTTGGATGACTCCTTTTTCAGAATGTTCCCCTGGGTATTATGGCCCAGGCTGCCATTTTAATTGCACCTGTCAGAACAGTGGAGTTTGCAACAGGTTTTCTGGAAGCTGTGAGTGCCTCCAAGGTTTCTATGGACGAGACTGTGAACATGGTAAGCATAGAAAATGAGTGGGCATGTTATGGTGTCGATAAGTTTTAAGTTTTAAAAACTATTTATAAAATAAAAGTAATATATTTGCATTATATCAAATTAGATAAAATGTTAATGCTTTAGTGTATGTTCTTACAATGTATTTTATAGCTCAACTTTAAGGTCTAGATGTTGACAACTGCTATCATTAAGTAATTGGACTTCTGTATTCCTTTCTGGAACTACTGTTCAAAAATGATTCTAATGTTCTATAATCATCTGGAATAGAAACAGGCAGACACACTCAAAGGCGTCAGCTGATTGCTGGTCCTTTTGAACATAATATTTTACTACTTTCTACACAAAATATAAATAAAGAAGCTGCTTGTTTAATATTGATCTAGACCTAACTCTAAAAAATCTTCGGGTTCTCTTTAAACATATTTATTTATATCAATTCTTCATTTAGACTTAATATTTTCACCTAAAATTAGGAAAAGAATTGTACAATAATTAAGAATTATACAAGAATTTGTCTTATATGTCAGGGAGCCTTGATGGGAACACAAGAGATTAAGATGTTAAAGTCTAGGCTCTAGAGTTCATTGTATATGGCCTAGCTCTGCCTTATGAAAGAGGTATAAACTATTAACTTCAAAGTTTCAGCTTCGTCAGTGTAGAATGGGGATAACAATAACACCTACTATAAAAGGTATGATGAGGATTAAATAAGAAGCACATGTAAGCATTTGTTCTAAGGCATGTGGCAAAAGCTTGACCAATATTAATCATTTAAAAGTAAAGGGCTTTGTAAAGCCTCTGAATTGATAATAGCAATGCTTGAAATTGTTTCCATGTTTTTCAACTTGTTTTTAGTATTTGGCAAATACATTTTACAGGAACAAATTTTACTAAGCCTCCTGAGGTTTAGAACTCTTGCCAACCATTCTGAGGTTTCCTGGGTTAGGGAGTGTGGAAGCAAACACCTTGTGGTTTTGTTTGTTTGCTTTGTTTTCAAAATTGGAATAAGAGATACAAGAGAGAGAAAAAATATCTATTCAAGGCCCATATATTTCATATTACATACATCCTACATTCTACAGATCCTACATATGATGAGTATCATGAAAGATTTTGAGCAGACAAGAGATACTATTCTAGTGAAATAAATCTGTAAAGTGAGAACATTATTGATTAAGAAAAGGAGCCATCAGTAGTGTCCACATGGAGAGCTATAGTGATAGGCTAGGACTTTAAAATCTGGACTAGGATAGAAAAGCGGATGAACTCTGACCAGTGTGGCTCAGTTGATTGAGCATCATCCCATGCACAGGTAAGTTGTTGGTTTGATATTGATTCCTGGTCAGGTCACATGCCCGGGTTTACTGGATCCTTGATGGGGGACATGCAGGAGGTGGCCAATCTATATTTCTTAATCCTTCAATTATTCTCTCTCTCTCCCTTCTTCTCTCTCTAAAAATCAATAGGAAATGAACAAAATATTTTCAAAGAAAAATTGACTATATTGGGCAATTAATTTGGACATGAAGATGAGGAAAACAAAGGCACCAACAATGGCTCTAAAGTTCCAAGCCAGGGAACCTTAGGGCAAACATAAACCCAAATAAAAACCATGGAATAACCACCTAAACTTCTGACTGGACATTAAAGTGATAGGAATGCACTCTGTAGCCAATATAGTGCATTATTCTGATTTTGTTGCTGATTGTTCAAAAAATTTTGAAATTGTTTAATATCTCAAAACACCACAAGAGATGTTAGTCTTCAATAGACAAAGATTCTCCTATTTAGAGAAATAGAAAAGTTGAGCAAGGCAACCTTTATAAACTCAGCTTTATAAATAATGAAACTAAAGGGGAGAAAGAGAGATTTGATTTTTCTTTGTATTCTCAATATTAATTATACAACAACAAATAGAAGAAACCCTGCATTGATCTTTTTTGTTACTCTTTAAAAATATATTTTATTGATTTCAGAGAGGAAGGGAGAGAGAAAGATAAATATACCAATGATGAGAGAAAATCACTGATTGGCTGCCTCCTGCAGGCCCCACACTGGGGATTGAGCCCACAACCTGGGCATGTTCCCTGATCAGGAATCGAACCATGACCTCCTGGTTCATAGGTTGACGCTCAACCACTGAGCCATGCAGGCCCAGCTGTTATTCATTTTTTTAAGAGTTATAAGATCAAAAAATGAAAGAGTATGTATTATATAAATTAATTCATTTCTTATCTCCTTTTGGTTTTACCTCCTTTTTCTGCTCCCTGAATGTGAGTTTTTCCTAATGTTGAATCTGTCCTGAGTAACTCCATGCATGCTGGAGAAGTGTCACACACATGAAGCCTAGGCAAATTTAACTGTAGGAAAGGAGGCTGGGCTGACAAAGAAAGAGGGAGAAAGAGTGGGGGAGGGAAAGAGAGAGAGAGACAGAGAGAGAGAGAGAGAATAATTGAAGGACTGAGGAAATTTTATCCCCCTCCCATTCCCAGTGAGTGGTAAGCATAGGCTTAGAGAAAACTCAAGATAAGAAATGGAAATATTTGTCTCAGTTGAGCTTAGCTCTCACACATCTCTATTTGAGTGATCATATCTCTGGACAAATGACAATTTTAGTATTCAATGAAAAGCATTTGCTGGGATTACATGGTCTCTAAAGGTAAACTAATCAGTTATTTTGTTGTTCAGCCACAAAAATATGGAAGAAAAACTAGTTATACTGTGCTTACTAAGAAATAATTCTACTTTATGGACCATCTATGGAAGTATTTTAAAGGTTAAATTTCACTGATTTTGAAATCTAACTTCCAACTTCCTCATATGATGTTAACCTACTGTATATACATCATATTGTCTTTTATTCCCCTTTTTCTTTTCTCCCTCCCCCCTTTTCCTCATACTCACCTCTATCATCCATTCCCAAAACTTAAAATATCAAGAGCTATATAAATCACCATCCACAGATACTCTCTTATTTATTTAAATAACTTAACTCAAAAACCATCCTTACTAAATTTAACCTGTATCTAACTTTTTAAAACATTGTTCTTTTAAGTGTTTAAGGTATTCTAAGGTTTTGAAGTCTTTGCCAGGCACATCATAGCAAATAAATTGTACTTACTTGAAGATATTTTAATTTTTTATGGATTCTTCTAGACTACTTGTAGAAAAATGGATCAATGCACTCACTTATTTGTATGACTAAACTATGGTCAATATGCTTCTCCACATAATTCTTTCTTGTTTCTAATTTTACGCTTTCATCTCCTTCTTTGGTCCTGGGAAACAAATGACCTACAGCGTATCCTTTAATTTTCCCTGCATTTATTCTTAAAGCCAAAATAGCATTTTGACATTTTTCTTTTCCAGCATGCCTTCCTGGATTTTATGGTTTGAATTGTGCTCACATCTGTGACTGCAGAAATGGAGCCAGTTGTGATGCAACGAGTGGACAGTGCATTTGCCCAGCAGGTTTCCATGGCAGCCGGTGTGAAAAAGGTATATCCAGAGCATTTTAAAGCAGGTGAATAGGGGAATTCTGTGTGAATGTGAGGTCTTTCTATCTTAGGGCAAACATAAACCCAAATCAAAAACATGGAATAATCACTTAAGCTTCTGACTTGGACATTAAAGCAACAGGAATTCACTCTATAGCCAATGTGTCCTTCTGATTTTGTTCTGATTGCTCAAAAATTTTACCTTCCCCTAAGTGAAATGGCTTAATATTCCAAACCCCATTAAAGCTGTTATTCTTCAACAGACAAAGATTCTACCTCTGAATGAGAAATATTTTATTAAAATATTTTAAAAGATTATCTATTGGGTTTAAAGATATTAAAATAGATACAAGGCTTTATGAAAAATATTTAAAGATGGGAATTAGGCATTTATTACTAGAAAATAATGACAGTCATGAATGTGGATGAGGAAATAGAGGTGAGAACTTGGGCTACTAGTTTAAAATAGTAAATTATAAATTTCCTAAAAGACTGATCAGTCTATTCAAAACAATGCCAGAGTACATAATTCTCAGTAAGCAACTCAAAATATCATTTTAGTCTATATTATGTATGACTTGTGCATAGGGTTATAATAATCATTATGATTATAATAATATAATGATAGTGGTCACTTGACTTTATGTGAATCAGAGTTATTGCCTTTAAAAAGGATTCATGTGGGTGGGTGGGATGAGATCAACCAAAGAGCTTGTTTGCATAATTGCATAACCTATGGAAATAGACAATAGGGTGGTGGAAGCCTGGGTCAAGGGGTATGGGCTATAAGGGGGTTAATGGGAGAAAAAAAGGACGTATGTAATACTTTCTACAGTAAAGGTTTTTTAAAAAGAAAGAAACAAGGTTACAAAAAATAAAAATAAATAAAAAGGATTCATATGCTACTCCCATACTATATCCTCATAAGTCACTAGAGCTATACATACAGTATTTCTTGCCATCCTTTATTCACTTATCCACTTATTATTTACTGTTATGTTCTGGGAATATAGTGGAGCTTACAGTCTTCTGGGAAAATAAACAACATTTAAGGAAAAATATTAAAAGTAATACTCTTGGCTAGTAGACTCAATTTTCTTCTTAAAGTTCCTATCTTTGAAAGCCCTCCATACATTCTCAAAGGTACAAACCAGTGTCAGAGTAAATCAATTTAAAACCTGAGTGTGAAATCATGTATAAAATGAAGCTGATTTCTGAGAATTCCAAAACTTTCCTCTGTTCTTCTAACCAACAAATCTCATTTTATCCTCCCACTTTGCTACTTGGGGCTCAATCTTGAGGAAATTCTATCTTTAATCGCATGTTAGCTGCATCATTGAAAATTCAAGTGGTTAATGTTTCAACATTTCTCTTTCCTTGGTAGAGTGTTCACCTGGAATGTTTGGAGACAATTGCCAGCATCTTTGTGACTGTGAAAGCAAAATCTCCTGCCACCCAGTAACTGGAAAGTGCCTCTGCCCACCTGGAAGAGCTGGAGCCAGATGTGAAGCTGGTATGAGCCAAGTACCTGGTGATGTCCCTCTGACTCATGGGTGATTCAGAGATCTCTAGGCATTTTTTTATACTAAAAGTATTGTGCAATTAAAGAACATCACACTACCATTGCTTGTCACCTTGCCTTAGTATGATTAATCAGAGTATGTGGCTGTTGCATAACAGGCAACCAAAACCAGCACTACGGCTGACAGAGGACACCTTGAAGGCACCTCAAGGTGATGCAATTAAACATCCTGATTACAAAAGCAATTCAGAAAAATCACTAGAAATAAGGCAATGAAGATACAGGGACTATTCTTGAGAACCAAGTTCCCGGTATTCTTGGGAATTTGAGATTTAAACCTTTTTCCCCCTATACACTCACAGGAAGAAAGGCCTAGAATGTAAAATTCAAAGTCTTTAGCGACTATCTTAAGAAGAGGAGAAAGTAGACTGAGTGGATCATTGACTCATCACTTACTATTTAAACTCAATGGATGCTTCCTAGATGAAAAGGTTTCATGTTTCACAATAACCCCGAAGGACTGGTCATCCTAAACATTTTGCTTATATTCATTTACTCTTTACCACCACCCAATGAGGCTGTTCTATTTTTATTCTTACTTGACAAAAGAGAGAGCTGAGGCACAGAAATATAGGAAGAGTCAGAACCAAGATTTAACCCTAGGCAGTCTGGTTTTGACCGTTGGGTGATGATGCTCTTAGTAGACAATACTATATGTGTGCATGTCTGCATGTAGTCCTGTATAAGGAACCTTCAGGGGATCATCAAGAGATTTATATTCTTTCCTATCCCTTCTTCCCTTTTCCATAGGCCTTTAAAATAAGTCCAATGAGTTATGAATATCAAGTTGGAATCCTTTGGGATCTTCCAACTGAGAAGCTTACTCATGCTGACATTTCTTTTTTGCAAAGCTGCTTCATGTATAGCTCTAATCACTGTGTTTCACTGCACTACAAGCTTCTTGAGAGTTCGATCCATGTTTATTTATCTTTTATCAAAAAAGGCTCAGAAAAGGGTCTAGCGCATGACAGTTTTCAGCAAATTTTTGTTTCTTTTCAGCATTCCTCAGGGAGTCATGGTAAACACGTTCCTGAACCTTGTCATATCTAAACTAAATCTGTCAGAGTAAACATCAGCATGACATCTTGGCAAAACCACAGTATACATGTCACCAATGAAATGCTCACTGAAGGCAGAATGCTTATAGTATTTGTGGTTTCATCCAAATACTGAAGAAAACCATTCATGTTTATTGAATGTGTATCATATGCCAGGCATTTTAATGTATACTAGGTGCCTTTACTATCATTGCCCTTCCCTTTTATAGATGGGGGAGCTGCAGCACAAAATGGTTAAGTAACTTGCCCAAAGTTACACAGATCACAAATGGCAGACTGGGGATTTGAAACAGACAATCTGGGTTCAGAGCCAGGCTCAACATCCCCACTATACCGCTTCTCAAGGGAAAGAAAGGAACAGGAATTGATTTTGTTGTCCAATATGCATTGTCCATTAACCACAGGGTGCTATTTAATTTATATTTAGTTTAATTTAAAATTCACCTCCTCAGTCACATTTCAAGTGTTCAGTGGCCACATATATGGTTAGTCGCTACACTATTGGATAGCACAGTATATATAGAATGTTTTCGTCATTGCTGGAAGTTCTGTTTGACAACACTCAGCGGTGACTTAAAACTAGCTTCTTCTAAACCAAGAGAGCTTATGGCCAGGCTGGAAATGAAGGCCTCACTCTATGGACTTTCTATGGACTAAATTCTTGTATCACACAGTCATTTTTATCTGCAGAGAAAAATTACCATTTGACAGTGGAACATATGTATTAACATGCCCATTCTCAGTGGGCACTTCAAGGCCTCTCTTGTCATGAGCTCTTTGGGGGTACCCACAGCTTACACAGATGTACTACATGATCTTTTATTTGCAGTTTTATTTTCAATTAGGCACAGTTCATCTGCGATATTAACTGTGAGCAGCTGTGTCTATGCAGGCACTATAAAGATAAAAGACCTCATTTTAATTTGAACTCTGGTAAAGGACCTATTAAACAGCCATAATGTTAATTCATAAAAGAATGTAGCAGCTTTTTATTGGATTATTTCCCCACCCCCTTGGTAAATTAACATTTGCAGACATTCAAACAGATGTCTTAAATACACATCGTTATTAACATAAAATGTGGTATTTTTATAAATTAAAATCAGATTCTGAACTGCTTAGGAGAGATCCCGACTCATAACTCTTTTTCAAACAAGAAAACTAGATCTTACCACCAAGCTAAGTAATCCTCCTACACACTGGATGAGGGTGGATGTATTAGGTTGGGATTTATTTATTTGTTTATTTATTTATTTTTAATACTTATTTATTAAATTGAGGGGTGGATGTATTAGGTTAGGATTTATTTATTTGTTTATTTATTTATTTATTTTTAATACTTATTTATTAAATTGATTGGGGTGACATTGGTCAAAATGAACATATACATTTCAGGTGTGGGTTTCTATGTTATAAGATCTGTACATTGCACCGTGTGCCCACCACCCAAAGTCAAATCTTCTCCTGTCACCTTATATTAGGGCCCCTTTTCCCGCCACCCCCTCCCTCTAGCAATCACCACTGCTGGTTGTGTTCCCAAATATCAGTTCTGTATCATATATATGAGTGGAATCATATAGTTCTTAGCTTTTTCTAACTGACTTATTTCACTTAGCATAATGTTCTCAAGGTCCATCCATGTTGTTGCAAATGGCGCTATTTCATCCTTTCTTATGGCTGTGTAGAGGACTGGATAAAGAAGATGTGGTACTTATACACAGAGGATTTATTTTTTAATTTTGATTATGTTTGATAATGTAAAGAAAAGATTCATTTCAGAGCAGCATTTACATCACCTCCAGAGCTCCTTTTACCTAGCTGTTCTTCCTTCATTTAGGAAGAGATTGAATTACTGTTTGCTCTGCAAAATGAATTAATTGCAAAATTGATTAAGTTCACATTTTTCTCATATTTAAAATCTAACTAGTTAATTAAGGCAAGAAGGCCAGAACACATCTTAGCCTACCTTCATTTCCCAAGAGAGCAATAAACAAACAAACAAACATGCAAATGCTTATGGAGTATTTAGGGTGCATCTCCAACCTGGCCAAGAGAATTTTGAGGCAATAATTATAGAAATATTTTACAAAATTATACCCATAGACTCAGAGTTCACTCTAGGACTGGTATCCTAGTATTTGCATTGACATTTCTAAATTTCCCACTTTCCAGCTCTCTCCACTTCCTTATTTGGGCTTTAATCTACATCTGCTTGACATGGTATGTCTTCCCACATGGCAGTGCAGATTGAGGAATGAGCACTAGATAAGAATTTAGAACTCCGGCTCTGCCGTTTGCCAGGGACATAACATTTGTGAAGGTCCCTTAAGCCACATCAAACCTGTTTCTCTCTCTACAATGAGAGAGAGCTTACCTCACTGTCTTGCCTACCTCACAGTTTTGCTAGAACCAACTGTGTTAATGTGTTTGGGACCCACTTTGTAAACTGTTTAGAGCTAGGTGACTCATTATTGCAAAGTTAAGTTTCTCTAATTCTTAAACATTGGTAGTAAGTTGAGTTACTTCCCATTCTCACCTGAACGAATCTGACCCCGTTTTCTGTTTCCATGGGCAGGGCTGGGCTTTCTCCCTATCCTCTCAATCCTTCAGAAACAGAACCTATTAATTCTCTCCTAATTTTCTGCTGGACATCAGACTAAGACCAAATGCCCAGGTTTGGGTGTGATGCCAGAGGGAAACTTTAGTCTACACATTTAGTTATTTTGATAAGGCTAATATTTTTAATCCTCTCTCTTCATTTCTCTACTCGTTGAATTCACAATGCAATTCAACTTAAAAATAGTTACATTCCTTGAGTACAAATAGCAGGATTTTACAGAAGTAGGTACACAAGGCATCACTGGCCATTTTGACATATTTTAAGAGGTGAAAGAGTTGAATGTAAAGCCATGTCATTTTCAACAACATAGGCACATGTTTTCAACCTGAAGACAAATTTGTGTATCCTGGGTGAGTGTTGCCTTTTTCTGACCTCACTAAAACTAATCCATTTTCCCCGTGTCCCTTGCAATGCTACTGCGATGAGCTCTATTACAATAATCTAATTCTGAGAGGGCACTTACGAAATTTAAGTTGCTGTCCTGATTTCTCTTTTCATCTTTGTCACTAACTTCCTTGACACCCCCCAGCCTCTTCCTGTTTTCCATTAAAGACCTGAGTTTTAATACATAGCGTTCTAGCCTGGGGGAGAATACCACATGGTTAACCAGAATTCTTTGTCTATCATCTTATGCAATTCCAAGAAATAGTAGTAAAGATACTATGTGATGGAAAAGCATATTTGAATTACTTTTATATTTATTTATTTTTTCCTCACAGAATGCAGGCCAGGCCAATATGGACCTAACTGCGCTCTGACGTGCCAATGTGTCCACAGGGCTCAGTGCAACCCGCTCAATGGGAGCTGTACTTGCCCCTCAAAGAGAATGGGTCCAACCTGTGAGGAAAACGTTTTGGATGATCTTCAATAACGGAACACTAGCAGCTTTTCAGTGGGTGGAGAGAATTTCGCCGAGGCTCACCCACAATTTATCATCTTAACTTTGGCAGGGAAATGCACTTACTCATCCATCTTCAGCCCAACCTCTCCTGTTGTGAGGTGAAAAATGATGTCTCCAATTTATGGCCTGCAAGTAGAAGTTCCATTCTCCAGCCTACCCTTCCCAACTTTCTTTTGCTGAAGAACATGCCCAAAGAAAGAGAGAATATTTTTTCAAGATCCCAATCGTAGTAACATTTTGGACTAATAAACGAAACTCTTTTTTATATGCACAGGCGGTATTTAAATTTGGAAGTAAGAAATACCTCTCAGTTCAGCTTGGACTGCACTGAAATATTCACACCTAGTCACTGAAGACCTCAGTGGTCATTAAGTAGCTGGATCCTCTTTAGAAATGTCTAGAATTTCATCTATTTATTCTTAGTATCCTGCTCCACAGCTGAGCCTGCTTCAGGTTGTTAATGTATTGTATTTCGAACATGACTTTCGGCGTGGGAGACTATTAAGGCTTTAGCCACATACAGATCTGGGTAAAGGTATGATGGGCACACTTACAATGAATCATCAAAATGTTTAGTGGTGTTCTCCTCATCACTGGTCAGCAGACAGGAAAAAAGTAAGTAGAAATGATCAAGGTGAGGTGCTTAGCCTGCTCTGGGGGGACACAAATTTCCAATAGAATAGGGACTTCCTTCATTTCAAGGAAAAAATAAATAATAACTAAAAACAGTGATTGCCAACAGGGAGAATAAAACAAGAAAACCATATTTCTCTTCCTTACTAGAGATCTTGTCTCCTATTACAACACGTGAGAAACTCACTCTAGAAAAAAAGTTTCCAGAAACTTTTCATGGTAGGAAAAAAAAGAATAAGAGATTTCTTTTGGGTGAAATTTTTTATACCATATTGCTTAACTTTTTATAAACGAGAAGTCTTATGTAAAATGTTAAGCACAGTTCTTGGCAAAAGGTCAATGGCCCAATATTATCTCTTTTCATCCCCCATGCCACCCCAAACTCTAAAATAAATCATGAGAGTGGGAAAGCAAAGCCATAGCCTAATCCTATATTTGTACTATCACATGACCCATAGACAAATGGAGTTTCACCTTCATCCTTATATCAGTCAATAAGAACTAATGCCAGTTACTGTAGCCACTTTTCTTTATAAAAGTTTTATAGGTTGTCTTTCATATCAAAAAATAAAATACAAAAATGTTTAATATCCAGAATATTTCCATTTTCTGCTTGGTAACCTTGAAAAATCTTGATTTAGATGGCACCCTACAAAAGTTAATAATCATGTGATAAGTTATTCCTTCTAAAAAATATTTCAGTTCTTCAGCTTGAGGACACTATCAGATGTCTGAAAATCATTAGAGGCAATGACATTTCATTCATGGGCCAACATACAAAAAATGTTCCTCTTAAATAATGTAACAGCTGCAAATTTATCAAATAGAATTTCCTTGCAAAATTATGTAACTAGAATTTTAAAAATCATTTTTAATAGCTGCATCTCAAAAATGCTTCAAATTAAGAATGTAGTTCACAGTGACGTGCATTTCTGAGCAAATAAATAATGCATCCTTTTTACTTTCATAAGGATTTATCTGAGCTTTCTACATGTAAACAGTTATTCAGGTAGAGTTAAGTGTAATCTGCCTACCAAAAAAAAGTAATTTGCACAGAATTTTTAAAAATTCAGCTATTTAAAAGTAAGGCATGATTTAATAGGCATGTCCTCTTAAAACTAAAGTCCAGTGTCAAATTAGAGTCATTGTCATGGGGTAGAAATACTTCATATTACTCCTCCTATTTTCCCTCCTTCTATAATCTGCTCTTTAAATGTAGAAATGCTGACCCCAAAAGAAATCCATCCACCCATAATACCCCTTTAGAAAGGTGCCTATGCTGTGATGTTTCAGGCTCTTTCATTTGAAATACAAGATCAGAGTGGGGATTATTATGCTTCTCTGCAATAATATAGCTCAAGTTTAAAGAAAACTGAGCAGATGTATGGAAGTGTGCTGGCTAATTTGGAGTTTCCATCTAACATGCGTGGGATATACCATTTCAGTTTAACACCTAACGTTCCCCCTACTCTTTCTAACTTCTATGCTCATTTATTGAGTTTTCCAGATGAGACAGCTATTTGACACAGGCTAAATTATTTTTAGAGAACTTGGAAATCATTCCAAGAGTTAGTGGCAAGAATGGCATTTCCTTTGTTAGAAATAGCAAAGAGGGTTTGGCTTCTGCGGGGCCTCTTTCACCTTGGTTTCTTCAGGACCTGGTAATACAGACGTAGCAAGAATTTAAAAAAGCATTTTGATGAAGTGAACAAATAATAGTTACTGTCTGCACTCTAGGAGTTATGTATGCAATTCAGTTGAAATAACTTTTCATGGTTCTATGATAGAAAAAATATCAAAGTAGCTGAGCTTTTAAAATAGATTTCAAGCAATTCCAAAGTTTTGACCCTTTTTAGCTAATCAAGTAGAAACTATTTTCTACTTTTCCTGCTTATATTTTAGTTTTTCAAAATAAAAGAAAATAATACAAAAATTAGTATTTAAAGTCTAGGAAATATATTTAAAGGCGGGAGATACCTCTTTTTATATTCTTTCAAATACTGACATCTCTTTCACTCTAAATCTTTTGTCAGTACTATATAAAACACCATTTAATCATTCTTCATTTTAATGTTTGTGCAAATAGTTCAAATTTTGAAAAAATACTATTTCAAATAGCTAATATTAACATTTTATTCTTCCACTGGATATGTTAAAGATATATAGAAAATTTCATAATAATGCCTCTACTTAAAAACAATATAAGCGAATCCACAAAACATAATTTTATTGCTCAGACTTCATGAGAAAAGTTCAACAACAGTCCATCAGACAAAAAGATTCATGTGAAGAATTGGATATTAAGTGTTGACAATATTGGTCTCTTGAAATGTAGAGCATTGGTTTGTGAATAAAATTCCATATGTAAGAATTGGATGAATTTGGTAGCTGGTGTTGAACATGTATTTGATGAATAATGAAACTTGTGACAGATTAGGTATCTGAATGGTCAGTTGGTAATATTACAAAGCACTTATTGACTGAAAAATGCCTTCATTAGTGTCACTTTTTAACTATTGCCTAAAAAGCAATTTTCTGTATTTTAACGCTATCCTGAATTTACTGACTCACTCAAAAATATTTATTGAGTGTCGACAATACTAGATATTGTTGGAGGCATAAAAAAAATAGTGGTGAACAAGATGGATGTATTTCCTGCCCTCATAAACTTACAGTCTAGTAGATGATATTAGCCAAATGAGTGCAGAGTTTTTAAACATTCTTAGCCTTTCAGTGAATTTAATAGTTCATCCATCCTTTTATAGTTTATTAATCCTTTCCTAAGTCTATTTCTCACAAATCTATTAATTCTCTTACATTCAGTCAAACTTTGATAAATGATATATATCCTACATCACCTTAAAAAATCTACATAGCAGGCTTTATACTCTTTAATGCCAATATAGGAAATTAAATATATTTTTAATTTATAAAATACTATTTACAGCCGAAACCGGTTTGGCTCAGTGGATAGAGCGTCGGCCTGCGGACTGAAAGGTCCCAGGTTCGATTCCGGTCAAGGGCATGTACCTTGGTTGCGGGCACATCCCCAGTGGGAGATGTGCAGGAGGCAGCTGATCGATGTTTCTCTCTCATCGATGTTTCTAACTCTCTCTCTCCCTTTCTCTCTGTAAAAATTCAATAAAATAAATTTAAAAAAAATTAAAAAAAAATACTATTTACATTCATAGAAAACCACATTATTTTTTCCAATGTAAAAGGCAAGTCCACTTTTAAATCTGTTGTTGTAACTCTGACAGCATGGGGACTGAGGTAATGGAAACAGAGAAAAAAAAGAGTATTTGTCTTTTTTTTGACAACTATCACATTCTTTTTTGACATCTATTGCTTTCTCTTTTGGTCAAGATGAGTGACTAAGATGAGTGACCAAGATGAGTGTTACCCACTGATAAAAGAGGGTTTTTTTTAGACATTTTAAAAAATCTAGTTTTATTATAAGGCAAGTAATTCTCTTATGTGTAAAGAAAACACCTTGCTATTTTAGTGGTGTCTCAAAACAAGATTAGATTATTCCTTTTAAAAAATTATGATAAAACTAGAGTTCCAGTACACGGATTCATACACATTGAAAAGAAATTAATTAGAAGAAATATTTTAATATCACTATTCGCCCTTTCTCTATAATAGAAGTATCAACCAAATTCATGATTGACAATGACAGATGGAAATACGCACACACAATTGGCACCAAGAGCTTTGTATGGATCATGCATGCGCAAGTCAATTTAGCCTTATAGATATAGAATAAACTTGTTTAATTAGACCTGCTTTCTGATTTAGCTAAACTTTTTCCAGCCCAGTGAAGCACCCCAACTTCTCTTTCAGGTATTTGTCAGCAGCACAGCAGTAAATATCAACACGAAGCAGATTATTATTGTAGATCACGCAGGAAGAACAAAGAGTAAAATATTTAACTACAGCAGTGTTTGACTATATTCTGCACAGTGAGAAAACCTGAAGTCATTTTCAAGGTCCACCATTTCTTGCTTTTTTTCATATGGGTCATGTTTCTAAACTTTCTAAACCACCATTTTCTGGCTAATGAAAAGAAATAGGATTCTACGGAATCTCCTATCTACCTACTCCAGTACTTCTGTGAGGATCAAATGAGATGAGGCACTGGAAAATGCTTCACAGACATTTGGTTCAAGTGTAAAATGTTTGCAACTGGCTATAAAGTAAGTTGTGTTCCTGGGCTGAAGAAACTCCAAATAGGTTAGTCACTAGGGAAAGGAAGCTGGGTGTTGCTACGTGACATCTTACCTGGTGCCTACAGCCACCATTTCCCCGGGCTGGGCTGTGGGTCACATTTTGCACCATGGGGTATTGGCAGCATTGGCTGCGATTTGGTGGGCTGTCACTCTGGGGTGGTGGCGGGGCCTGTGTCCCACTTGGGGGAAGCCAACTGTTATTTTGTCGGCACCAGGTCCATGTTGCCGTTTCTTTGTAAATGGCCAGTGCACATCACAGCAGCTCCTTCGTTGAATGTATGCCCCCTGGTGGTCAGTGTGCATCATAGCAAATGGTCAGACAGTTGGAGGGACACTTAGCATATTAGCCTTTTATATATATAGATATACATAACATAAAATTTACCATCTTAACCATTTTTTAAATACACAGTTCAATGGCATTAAGGTTGTTCACATTGTTGTGCTACAATCACCAATGGTTATTTCTTTTACTATAGGAAGAACTTTCTGATGCCAGTTGAGTAGCACGTAAAGTCAGTATACGTTGGTCTGCTTGAATAACTTAATTCATATACTGTCTGCATTTGTGAATTTTTTTATATTCTGTAACTACTTTATTTGAAAATATGCTTTCTATGTCTCTTCCTATTTGCTGGCATTTCTGAAACAAAGACATTTTCTCATTTAAGCAGTTATACTATTTCTGGAGATCATATGACTAGAAGAACAGCCATTTTTCACTAAGTGTATCACAGTTGTAGCTCATTCACTTTAACATGTGTCTAAATATGCTGATAAACAGTAAGCAATCAGCAAACTTATTGCATTCTATGAAATATTAATCAAACTTGTAATTCTATTTTGACCAACCCTCATAGACTTCCCAGATTTTATAACCTTTTTCTGAATATCTGCTCCCTGGACTCCACTCTGGCCTTGAGGCTATGTGGCCTTGAGGCTAAGGTATACAGACTCCCACGGCCATGAGGCCTCAAACAGTGTTTCCCAATGAGTATTCCAGGGAATTACAAGTTCATAGTACATTTAAGCAGTTATACTATTTCTGGGGATCATATGACTAGAACAGCCATTTTTCACTAAGTGTATCACAGTTGTAGCTCATTCACTTTAACATGTGTCTAAATATGCTGATAAACAGTAAGCAATCAGCAAACTTACTGCATTCTATGAAATATTAATCAAACTTGTAATTCTCTTTTGACCAACTCTCATCCCAGATTTTGTAACCTTTTTCTAAATATCTGCTCCCTGGGCTCCACTCTGGCCTTGAGGCTATGTGGCCTTGAGTCTATGGTATACAGACTCCCAAGGCCATGAGGCCTCAAACAGTGTTTCCCAATGAGTATTCCAGGGAATTACAAGTTCATAGTATTTAGTAAAGGAGAAAAGGAAGAAGAGAATTGCTTGGGCCTAATAGTCAATAACACCGACAATCAGAAAACTCTGGGTTAAATAGAGATACATAGTATATTTTACTGCAATGCTTTTTAGGAGCTGTAATATCCTATTGTGATTTGTGAATTTCTAATAGGAAGACACAGTACACAAAGAATTCCAAAATGTTAAATTAGGAGTTCCTTTTCTGAAGAGCATTTCGAAAAACTAGTGTCCCAAAAAACACTTTTTGTGAAACATGTTAACAAATGTATATGGTGAGTAATGCCCTCAGAAACATCCTTGGTCTGGATATTCTGATCACACATTTTATGGTGTTTATAGTAATTGCCTGAGAGAATTCTAAGCAAGGCCTGTATTACTTTTATAGTTTCCCATGGAGCTGCTATGAGTCAGTAAGTATTTCTCAAAATAGAGCTTTGAAAATGCAAAATAAAATGTTGATGAAATCTTTGAAAGGGCTGCCTTTCTTGTCTGATAAATATGAGAAATTCAGTAAACACTTCTTTAAATATTAAGGACAATTAGGAAAATGTGAAATAAATTGTATTATTATTAAATGAAATATTATAAAAGTTATACAGGAAAATATGTTGGAAAATAAAAGACCAAAGTTTAGTTAAATGCATTAAAAATTCTAAAGAGAGAATGTTCAATAACACACTGGAATGAGAATCACTAAATGGTCAGATACATTGTTGTCATGTCATAATTGAAATGTGTGAATTCTAATAATATCGCAGACAGTTACTATGATCTATGTAGTATTTACTAATGATTATGTTATTTATGAAATTCTTAAAGTATCCCCAGCTCCACACACACACACACACACACACACACACACACATATATACTCTCACAGACCTATTTATGTTGGTGATGAACTATTGTGGATAATATCCTTTTGAATTATACATTTATGATACTTTTTGTTAAAACTTTATTAAAAATTATAAATTATTCCAAATAAATGTACACACTGTAGTATTCAGAAAAAAGGGTGTTTCTCACTTATAAAAACCTCCAGTTCTACA